TCCATAAACGTTGGGCCACTCTGTGAAATACAAATGAAAACAGAAAGCAATGATTTGTAAATCCACTTTGACCCGTATTTAAACAAAAACAGTAAAAAGACAAGATATTTAATGTTTTACCTTATAAACTTTGTTGCTATTTTTGTAAATATATAAGCACATCCTAAAATTAACACCTGCAAAAAGGGACAGGGCCAATTTTAGACTAGAAACACTGTTAAATGTTCAGGTAACATTTTAAAAGAGGTGAAGCAATCATGCCTGGATATAAAAGGAGCATACAGGAAAGACCTAGACCTTTATAAGCAAGGATGGGTCAAGGCTTGACACATCAGCAAATAGTCCAGCTGTTTAAGAACAACATTCCCCAAGGAGTGTTTATGAGGATTTTAGATATTTCACCCAAGGAATTCAAAGAATACAGAAAAAACAGTGAAATGCCTGAGATCTTTGACCCCTCAGATGACACTACATTAAAAACCTGCATGCTTCTGTGATGGATATCACCACATTGGCTCAGGAATATGTTGACAAACCATTGTCAATAAACACCGTCTGTCGCTGCATCCACAAATGCAAGTTAAGACTGTACTAAGCACAGTGGAAGTCAACATGTCAACAACGTCCAGAAACACTGTCAACTTCTCTGGCCTTGAGCTCATCTGAAATGGACTGTGAGTGGAAAAGTACTGTGGTCTGATGAGTCCACCATTTAGATTTTTTATGGAAATGATGGACGTCATATTCTCCACGCCAAAGAAGCAAAGGACCATCCAGATTGTTACCAGTGTAAAGTTCAAAAGCCAGAGTCTGTCATGGTATTGGAGGGTATTAGTGGGTAACTTGCACATCTGTGAAGGCACCATTAATACTGAAAATACTGTTGCATTTTAGACACCGTCTTTTTCAGGGATGTCAATGCTTATTTCAACATGACAACAAGAAACTTTCTGCATGTGTTAGAACAGCATGGCTGTGTAATCAGAGCATGTGGGTGCTAAACTGGTCTGCCTGTCTCCTATTGAAAACTTGTGGTGCATTATGAAGCGCAAAATATGACAACAAAAGGTCCCGTATGGTTGCAAAGGTAAACACTTGCATAATTTAAGAATTTTTGCATTCAAAAGCTGATCAATTGGTGTCTTCAGTCACCAAATGATTATTAAGTGTTGTTAAAAGAAAAGGTGATGTACCACAGTGGTAAACATGCTCCTGTCTCTGTGTTGCAGACATCAAATTTGTATTAAGTATATATTTACAAAAAAACAAAACATTTAATAAAGACATCAAATATTGTACTTTTGTGTTATTAGTTTAATACAGGTCAAACAGAAGTTAGTATTCAGTGCTTTCTGTTTTAATGGAATTTCAGATACTGTCCCAATACTGTAAAAATACAACACACAAGGCAAAATATGTGTTAACGTCTATTATAAACATATGGAATGTGTTTTACAGTCTTCAAATGTCATTCAAAGTCTCGCTTTAGAATGGCTAAAATGTTAATACTTGTCACAATAAGCTTACACACAACTAGAAATCCACTAAGGGCACTAAATTAGCATTACTATATAGGTGTATTTTGCTTTGTTCTGAGTTTTTGTGTCTTTACAACTGTGATAGTCATAGTTTGCCACAAAACTCCACTAAATTCATTTTTTAACATTAAATTATTAGACAGTAAGCTTCTGGTAAGCAGTGTTATGTCGTCGGCTGAAGTGTGTAGTGGACACATGCTGGCTTACAGTTCAAACTGTTTTTCACTTAGAGTGTGGAGATGGGGACATGAACACACTGCGTAAACTGAGACAGACTTCACTAGCTGTTCTGCAAGTGACATTTATGCCTGTTGTTTTCCAGACAGGGCCTGCGCACGACACTGGAATCAGCTCTCAACAGAAGCCAGTGATGGCTTCCATAATCCACAAATGAACATCACAGAGTTAAAGCCCTGTTCTTCAGAAGTGTACAGAAGTGCAAGTCAGTGCACAATAAATGAAACTGAGTTTCTGTTTATGTCTACTGAGCTGACACTTCAATAATACTACTGGGTTTAGGATTTGTTTCTCAAAAACAACATCAAAGAAGTGAATTATGTTCAAAGCCATACAGACTCAGAGTACAAAAAGCTATCAACTGTACTTTCTGCACTGATAAAAAGATTCTCAATAAAAAAAAACATGATTATGCAAAAATGCATCATTAAATATTTCTCAACTGCTCTTAGAACCCAGCGTTAATGGTTTCCTTTCATGTTTTATCAGAAAGAGAGATGAAGAAAGTGTTGCTAGTGACTAATTTCACCACCCAAGTCTCCACCACCAGCTGTCATCTTCTCTGGATACCCTCCCACCTGTCTGATTATAGACATATTGTTCATTCCACCAAAACGAGTGCTGGTGCATTTCTCACTGGAATAGTAGTCTAGGCAACAGAAGGTATTCAAAGCAGTTTCCCACTTGAGCATCTTCTAATTCATTCAGCATTTTCTATGCAAATGGCCACTTGTCTAAGGTGGCTGCACATCACCCCCTGTGTTGGTCTTATAGCTCAGATGAAGTGATTCGAGTCAATATTAACACTTAAAATTGCAAGAGTATCATTCAGTAATTAATCCTACAACTTGTTATTCAGTAAATAATTCTATTACTTCATGTTATAATTAAAATGAGGTGTGGGCTCACACACAGGATTTATACAGTTAAAGAGGCAGAAATAGATTTGCATGTTCAAGAAGCAATAAAAGGTTAAACAAATCACATGGAATCACTCCACGACTCATTTACTGCTATTTGCCACCATTTACAGAACTGTGCAAAAGACCCTTTAGATATAGAAGATGATCCACTTGTATAATGAATGGGAAAAACAAGTGAAAAAACAGGATTTTCCAAAACTGGAGTTGGAAAAAATATTAACCCGCTAGACCACCACAACTGTCCCCATCAGATAAACAGCACTTAAAGCTTTCATCTTTGAGAGAGAGGAGAAAATTAAGCTCCACTCTTGAATCAGATCTGAAAAAAATCCACAGGTGTTTCTGTCCATCCTTCCACTGTGAGAAGACAACTCAGCACTATGGGTCTGAAAGGATTGGTGGCTTTCAAGAAGCCCTCACTGAGTAAAGTAGACAGACAAATCAAACAAAGAAGCTGCTGGTGTTCTCAGAACATTGGACTGACCACCCCAGAGTCCAGACCTCAACATCACTGAAAGTGTTTGGGATTACTTGGATTGTGAGAAGCAGAAAATACAAACAACTTCTAAGACTGAACTTAAAACTGAAAAATATCCCTTCAGATTTCTTGGGGGAAAACTGAAAACAAGTCTCCTGAAAAGAATGGAAACTGTAATAAAGGCAAGGGGTGAGCTGTTGAGGCTTCTGTGTGATTTTGTGTTAAATATATCTTCGCTCTCCAGTGAAAAACAAGTATCTCCAAAATAGTAACTTTACAGGAGAGGGAAAAACACTTCTGTACTTTCAACATAAGTTAATAGAAAAAGTTTTCATTCTAAGCAATTTTGGAGCATTTCTATTGGTCCAATCATCATGAAATTTTCACACAATGTAAAGGACAGCTGCTGAGCTCAAATGATGCAGAAAAGTAAAAATCGCAAAAAATGCAGATACGTGTTTTTCATTGGACAGCAACGATATGTTTTCTGCTTTTTTGGAAAAATGTATAAGTCGTACTTTTGACTGGAAATTAAATAAAAGACAGGTGGTCTCTAAAGCTGCAAATGCCTATATGCCTAATTTCATACTAATTACATTCTTATTATACTTTCTTAAAGTTTTATTTATGAAGTATAGTAACAACAAACAGTGCAATGTTCTAAAATACATTTTTAAAAATAAACTTTACTGTATATTTTGTCTTTTTAGCCCCTAGTTCACCAAAAACATTATGCTTTGGTGCAAAAAATGTTTGGGCACACAGAGTCTTTTACATCAAGACCCATTGATTTCTAATGCCATGGTATCTACATACATATCGACAACAGAACGACAACAGAACAAAACCTTGTAAAAGTAACTTTACAGAACATTCTTACACTTCAATGTATGTTCACTTACATTGTTTGTACTCTGAGTCATTTAGGACCATTTTATTGCTCCATCCATCATGACATTTTGACACAGTGTTGAAGGCAACTAGTACTTTCAAAATGTGTAAAAAAAAAATAAAAAATGAAAAAAATTGTATTGTGTGTTGATTTTTGTTCAGCTTCAAATAGACAAAAATGTGCTGCTTGCTGATAGAATCCTCCTATCAGCAACAACATAATCAACAGCCATGACAACAACAACAACAACAACAACATAATCAACAGCCATGATGACACCAACAACAACAACAACGATATAATCAACAGCCATGGCAACAACAACACAATCAACAGCCATGACACCAACAACAACATAATCAACAATCATGACAACAACAACAATATAATCAACAGCCATGACAACAACAATATAATCAACAGCCATGACAACAACAATATAATCAACAGCCATGACATCATCAACATAATCAACAGCCATGACAACAACAACAACAATAAAATCAACAGCCATGACAACAACAATAAAATCAACAGCCATGACAACAACGAAAACAACAATATGAAAACTTGTGGTGCAACCCTGCATGGAAAAACGCCTTTAGAATCCATTGGGGTTATAACCTCCTGCTTTTGCTTTCTAAGAGGGATTGGCTTAATGGTTTCCAACAGAAACGACTAATTTCCTGTAGAAGAACTTTATATCCTATTAGAAAAACATCAAGTGCATTTAGAATCAGCCACTGGCGACCTGGTAAACCATTAGGATCCTTTACATTGTGAAATCAACCCAGCAAAATAGCCAAAACACATTACAAAACCAACAGCAACACTTCATTGCTTATCTGTTTTTTTTCAGCAGGGAATCTGTTCTACAAGTCTCACTGACCGCCGTTCAGACGGCAGGGATTTCTCAGTAACTATTACAGCGGCACAGCTCCTTCCAGCTGTAAGGGTGGGTGATACACAACAGACTCTACTATTAAACCGAGCTGACTTCAGGCACAGTTAGGATACAGTTTATTTCTCTCCTTTCTGGATTCTTACTTTACCCCTTCTGGTTAGCAGAAGGCTGAAGTGTCTTTGCTCTGGCTCGGTGGCTGATTTACATCATCAGAGAGCAGCAGAGTGAGGAGCTGTGTGATCTGCAGGAATAATGCTCGACGCTGGGGAGCTCTCAGAAAACGCAGCGGGAGACAAAACGCCTTTCCAGAACAATTATGGCGCAGCTACGGAGTTCAGCGGCGTGAGTGACGGAAGATAAACTCAGCGGTTCAAATTCAGGTAAGTTAGGCGGCATTTAGGGTCGCTTATTGCGCGCGGAACATTTCAAACGAGCTTTACAGCAGCACTGATTCGAGATACTAGACTCGCGCGCCCTGAACTTCATCTGCTGTGTGTTTGAGGCGATGGTGCATCTTAGATTAAATTACCTGGAAAAGCGAGGCTGGGGTCGTTTCACCCGTTTCCCTTGAGCTTTTGTTTTCACGGCGATCTTTATCCGTGCGTAAAGCCGTGCGTAATGTTGGCAGTCTCCTCGTGTGCGCGTCCAGATGCTGGCGGTGACTCTCCCGGCGAGGCGTTAGTGACTTAAATGCCTTAAATACATATGGATGTGTTTTATTTTAATATTCTGGCTGAAAGCAGCGCTTCTGCTGTGACTGTTCCAGGCCAGAGTTACGCAACGTTTAAGTTTTCAGCAGCTGATCAAATGGGTTCAACTTTGTGGCCGGAACTAAAATGGCAATAAATGATTTGCATTGGCCTCGACCACTGATTCATCATAACCTGCTGAAAACTTTTGTTTAAAGGGCTCAATTCATGGAAAACTGAATTTCCCTTACTTTTCTGAGTTTGGAGTAGCCTGTAAAGTTCTAAAACATCTCACTCACTGCTCTAATCTGTACGCTCTATGAAGAGGAACTAATCTGCGTCAGCAGTCTTGAATTAACCGCTTTTGTGTTTGTGATGTCACAAAAAATTCAAAGCAGTTTAGCCCCGCCCACTCACGCTGAAGTTATAAGGAGTGTTTCAGCCTGGACTGTTTTCTGAATGAGCCACAATGCAGGATTCAGTCAGAACAGAGCTCATTTACATATAGCAGTCTAATTTTTTAAAATCAGTTTAAATCTAAAGGATAAAAAGAGAAGCTGGAAAAGTATTTTAAATCAAATCAAATCACGTTTATTGTCACATCACATTTACAGGTATTATTATCATTATTATAATTATTAGTTTTAAGAAGGTAATGTATATGAATGTAGGTAATAGTGTTATCTTCTATGCAGAGTATGTTTCCTTGACAACTGTGACATATTAGTCACATAACTGACCTGTACTTAATCAGAGACGCACAAATGTTCATCAAATGTTATATATGCATATATTGTATTGTATGTGTATATATATATATATATACACACACACACACACACACACTAGATGATATGTACAGTTGTACACTTTTCCATATATGCAATATGTGAGTCTGAGGTAGATACATGAGCTGCAGGGTTAGAATGTATCACTGTTTTTAGTACATAAATGTAATAAGTGGACCCCAAGTGCAAAAAAAGTAAGATATGGGCCCTTTAATGGCGCACTGACAAAGGAATGACCACAGGTCCAAGCCGCAACTGCTAGATAAGTACAGATAATGTGGGCACCGCCGCTCTAATTGCATTACAGAGTCATCAGAATGGGTGGATGTCGCCCCCCACCCCTCGCTGTCTCGCGCGCTGTCTCTGTTTGTCATGTTGCGAGCCGCAGTGGCCGCGCTGTTTATCCTCGCTCCACTCCTCCTCTCCTCTTCACTTCCACAGCTGTCCGGCCATCATGTCTCAGCTCTACTACCGCCGGAAGGACCCTTCGTGTTACCGGGACCGCATCCCTTTGCGCGTGGTGCGCGCCGAGGCCGAGCTGTCCGTGCAGGAGAAGTTGTACCTGAACGCCGTGGAGCGAGGGGACTACGGCAGCGTGAAGCGCGCGCTGGAGGAGGCCGAGATCTACTTCAAGATCAACATCAACTGCGTGGACCCGCTGGGGCGCACGGCGCTGCTCATCGCCATCGAGAACGAGAACCTGGAGCTGATCGAGCTGCTGCTCAGCTACAACGTGCACGTGGGCGACGCGCTGCTGCACGCCATCCGCAAGGAGGTGGTGGGGGCCGTGGAACTGCTGCTCAACCACAAGAAGCCCAGCGGGGAGAAGCAGGTCAGAGTTTGCAAACTCCTTTGAAAACAACAGAATTTGGGCAGGAATAGCTCCCAAAACGGGACCTGATCTTTAGATGTGTCAGTGGTTCCCAGTCCAGGTCCTTGAAGAACTTGAAGAACCTTGTCCAGCATGTTCTGCTCTAATAAACCTGATCCAGATATTCAGATAAGTCCTTCCAGAGTTGAACAGCATGTGTTAGGGCCAGTACAGTCTTAATAATAACAATAATAATAAAAGCTTCCTAAATAGTTATAGGAAAAATTTTAAACATGACCTGATCTATAGACGTGTCAGTGGTTCTCTGCCCTGGTCCTTGAAGAACTTGAAGAACCTTGTCCAGCATGTTCTAATGTTTTCCCTGTCCTAATAAACCTGATCCAGCCAGGTACAGTCTTGATAAAAAAAGGTTCCTAAATAGTTATAGGAAAAACCTTTAAACGTTACCTGATCTTAAGGTGTGTCAGTGGCTCTCAGTTCTGGTTCTTGAAGAACTTGAAGAACCTTATCCTGCATGTTCTGGTCTAATAACCCTGATCCAGCTGTTCGTGTCATTAAGCCCTTCCAGAGTTGAACAGCATGTGTTAGGACCAGCACAGTCTTAATAATGAAAAAAACAGGTTCCTAAATAGTTATAGGAAAAACTTTAAACATGACCTGATCTTTAGACGTGTCAGTGGTTCCCAGTCCTGGTTCTTGAAGAACTTGAAGAATCTTGTCCTGCATGTTGTGATGCTTTCCCTGCTCTAGTACACAGATCCAGCCAGGTAGTCTTGATGAAAAAAGGCTCCTAAATAAGTATAGGAAAAAACTTTAAAGGGCTCATATCATCAAAAAAAACTAATTTTCCTTTTTATTATTATAATTATAATTTTTTTGCTAATAAAAGACTGATGTTTGTTAACATCCCTGAAGTCAATACAGTCCATATTGAAAACTAGCCAGAAAAAACAGGCTTTTTGTTTTTGTGATGTCACAAAAACCAACACATTTTCCCTATATTCACTTATCCACTTATTCAGCCTACAGCAGTTTAGCTCCACTCATTCACACTGAAGTTATAAGGAGTGTTTCAGCCAAACTGCTTATTTAATGAGGCACTATATGAAGCAGCCAATCGGAACAGAGATCATTCACAGATGTGGGCCATTCTATCGAAATGGTCACGTTAAAAAGAATTATGAGTGTTTTTCAGACATAAAACAACACAGATGCCATAAGGGAAAATATAAAATAGAAGAAAAGGTAGGATGTAGGTTCTTTAATTGGTACAGAAACTTTATGTGGAGGAGAAAGTTCCTCACTTATCTTAACTTTTTTTAAACAATGACAATTTGTAGTACTAAAAAGGGTTCTCTGCCTTTTCAAAATATTTTATTCAATTTTTCTTCTTTTTCATTTTTAAATTTGGCAGATACTCTTATCCAGAGTGACTTTGAGTCTAACCATGCACTCTCAGAAAAAAAAGGTAGTAAACTGTCACTGGGGCAGTACCCCTCTGGTCACTGGGGTGGTACCCTCAAAGGTACATATCAGTACCTTTAGTTCCTTCAGGGAACATAACTGAACCATAATCCACTGAAGTTATATTTTCTAAGTTGTACTGACTCCACACACCCTGTCTCGTCTCCAGGCTTTTTATTTTACTGTTCTGTTTTAAAACATTAGATTATGAAAAGGTACAAATACGAACTTTTCACCTGGAAAAACTTATTTAAGGTTCACAATTGGAACTTAAAACCACTGTTGTACCTTTGAAGGAACATTTACATTGTTTGTACCTTGACGAGCAAAAAATGTACCTGCCCAGAACCTTTATTTCTAACAGTGTGTTACAGAAGTAAGCTAATGGTGCATTAGGAGTCTAGCCCAAGAATGCTTATTGGTACAGTGTGATGTGCTTTCCTTCGTGAAGAATCAAAGCCCAGTGTGTTGCTCACATACTTAAACATACCTTTTACAAAAATCATTGATGGTGGAGAGGTACATGTCCAGCAAATAGTCCACAAAGAACGTGTTTTTTCATATTTAACAATATTTTATCATTATCAACATTACATATAAAATGTCAGTAGACACATGAAGCTTCCCTGGTGCTTTTGGATAGTAAATAAAGTGGCTATATTTGTGTTGCAACCCCTGGTTCCTATCACCACCAATGTGTAGGAGTTAGTATGTTTCTCTACAATGAACCACTCTGCATGAGTTTGTTTACATCTCAGTGATTGAATTATGCAGAAATTTGTAAAAAATCGGTGGCATTCCCCTTCCATGTTGTCTTGATATTTTGATTTCTCTCAACAGTTTCATGAAATTTGGCCTAAGTTATCTGATAAATTGAGAAACTCTGCTTTGTGAAATATACACCTGATCTTCATCTAAGTCGTCATGACGCAAACAGTCTTACTTAACAAAAACACACACAACACTTTGTAAACAAGCAGGTTGGAGCTTTCTGAGGACACTAGTGAGAGAAAAGATCCTCCAGGATTTCTCAGTAAGCTGGAAAACTGAAACCAAAAGTGAGGACTGTCCAACAGGGACGCCCTTTCTTTAAGCCAGAGTCAACATTTTACCAGATCTTTACTGAACCAACCATCAGGTTAGAGCTTTGTAAACACACTTAAGGAGAAAATTTGTGAAATATTTTGGAAGCTGGGTGTCTGTGTATCTCCTAAAACATGACCGGAGGTAACCTGGATAATTTAAGCCCAACTTGAAGATTGTCCAGTAGTAAGTCCATTAACTCTCGCATTGAACAGGCTTGACTTTAAATTCAATTATCTAGTTAACTGGAAAATCCTGCTCTGTGAAATTCTCCTCTGATCTAAGCCTAATTCATATTTAACAAGCATCACATGCAGTACATAACAGAACCATATCTTTACTGAAAGAATGGCTTAAACAGTCAAGCTCACTTGTTTATTTCAGGTTTAAATCCATTAGACATTGCTTCTCATGAGTGCTAAACTATTTTAAGCCCTGTAATAAACTGTACAAACAAGCCAGGCTTATTCGGTTATGCACATTATAATTATTGTTAATAACCTTTGTGATATCATAATATTCTTTCTGCTAAGTAACAAAAGCTCATTAGTATGCAGATGCAGGAACCTTATTCATTTTTAATAGCACTCTGTTTTCTGATCTTTTTTCACACATAATCACAGCTCCTGTCTCATTGAGAGTCTTCCCTGCTGTGATCATATTCGAGAAAGTGCTCTGAGATTTGATTCAGCTATTACAAGTCCCACTGGACCTTGACTTCCCCTCCTCCAACCACCTCTTATCAGCTACATATCTGAAATACCAAATGTGTCCATTTCCTCACTGAATCACTGTCGGCTTCATGGCCTTGGATTACATGACGAGACTCAGGAAAAATGACAAAGTTCTCTCAAATTCAGCTTCTAATCCTCTAAAATTGAGAGTTTCTTTCATTTTGTTATTTAAAAATTGATTCTCCAAGGGTTCCTTAGCAAAAGCAGTGGTTCTATATAGAACCACAAACCAAAACATGGTGGTTCTATATAGAACCACAAATGCTCAAAGAACCATTTGAGCACATAAATGGTTCTCTGCATGATCAATGATGGAAAACCAGTTCTATATAGAACCACACACACACTCAAAGAACCATTTGAGCACATAAATGGTTCTCTGTGTGATCAATGATGGAAAACCAGTTCTATATAGAACCACACACCCTCAAAGAATCATTTGAGCACATAAATGGTTCTTTGTGTGATCAATGATGGAAAACCAGTTCTATATAGAACCACACACACTCAAAGAACCATTTGAGCACATAATGGTTCACTGCGTGATCAATGATGGAAAACCAGTTGTACATAGAACCACAAACACTCAAAGAACCATCTGAGCACATAAATGGTTCATTGTGTGGACAATGATGTAAAACCAGTTGTGCGTGGTTCTTTAAAAACTATTTTAAAAATGGTTCTATAGTGCACCAAAAATGGCTCCACTATTGATACGAGTGAAAGAATCTTTTTGCTAAGCATATATAAAGTTTAAAAAGATTTTCAGGTTCTTTAGTAAAAGCAATGGTTCTATTCATAACCTTGAATTCTATATGGAACCATTTTATGATTAAATGGTTCTTTGCATGGTGAAATAGTTCTCCACTGAAGTAAATATCTTGTAGATGTTCTGTTGATACATTACTTACATTAAGTAGATCTATTGTTAATATATTACTTCCATTATGCAAAACTTAACTTTACCCAAATCCTAACCCTAACCATGGCCCTAATCCTAACCTTAACCTTAATCTCAACCCAAGTCCTAATCCTTACCCTCATATGTTTTTGACATGTTACTGAGAGTCCGTTGAGTGTTTGTTTCATCTAAACACGACCACTCAAAATAAAGTGTCACCCCTTTTTAATATTTATTTCTATATAGCACCAAAAAGGGTTCTCCTATTGTTACAATGTCAAGCTTGTAACAACAGAAGATTCTATAAAGAACCATCTACAGCACATTCTCCATCAATCTGAAGAACGCTTTAATCATGCGGAGGGTTCTTTGAGTGTCCATGGTTCTATATAGAAAGATTTTCTTTACTAAAAACCCATAAAGAACCATCTTTTTAAAGAGTGTACAGAAATAAATGTTATATTTCTCCATAATGCTAATCGCCAATTTCTACACTTCATAAACATGTATCAGTATCAGCAGATACATACATGAGAAATATCAGATATCGGCATCGGCCCTCAGTTCCCATATAGCTGCATCCCTATTTAACCATCTTCATCTGGATTAATTCATGCTCCCCTCATTGCCTTTCACAGTTACTCAGCTGCATTCATTTGGCTTTCACTGGAATGGCTATGAGCAGAGCAGATCTGATCATCCACCACAGCAGTGCGCAGCATGGTGAACCCCAGTTTTCTCTCTCTTTCTCTCCCCAACCCTTATTCATGCTGCCTGTTTGATATGCAAATCACCAAATTAACATGTCTATAGATCAC